CTCTACTTCTCTATATAACGAACTTGGTCTTTCCCCCTTACAGGATCGTGTCCAGGAGTTTTACCTAAAAACTGCCGTTTCCATTCGACGGGATCCTAGGGGCAACTATGTCCAAACCAACTTGACTACTGCTGTTCGAGACCGACCTCCATCTAGAAGACAGTGGCGAGGGTCACTCATCCGAGCCCTTCAGGAACACGACCTCCTGCCTGATATTGTTGTCACCCCTGCTGTTGGTTCGTCTCCTTCTCCCTGGCTGGATTTTCAACCTGAAGTGATTGCCCTCGGTGGACCGCTCCCGAAATCCCAGGTGAACCCTGTTATTCTCTGCAAATACCACCTCTCCAGGATCGCTTACTGGTCCCCAGGTAGGGTCGTCTTCTACACTGATGGTTCTGTTGACCCCGCTACAGGTAGGGCCGGGGCTGGTGTCTACATCTCCCGTCCTCATGCCCCTGAGCCTATCAAACTGTCTCTCAGAGTTTCTGACGGGGCATCCTCCACTCAGGCTGAACTAATAGCCCTCCTTGCTGCCCTTCTCGCTGAGGAAGAAGCAGATGGTTTCTGCCCCTTGCTTGTCTGCTGCGATTCCAGGTCTGCTCTCGACGGGATTGCATTTGGATCTGGGGAAAATAAGGACCTCATCCTCCGAATACGAGGGTTAACATCCACACTTCAGGATGAAGGCCGTCCTGTGACATTCCTATGGATACCTAGTCATGTCGGTATCTTGGGGAATGAGGCAGCAGATGACCTTGCCAAGACTGGCTGCAACAAGGCCACACCTGACTACGTTGTTCCTCGAACACTCTTACAGATTAGGACCCAAATCCGCGCAAACAGAGAGAAGCTCGGGAAGCAGCCATCCCCCTGGACTCCCCGCCCACATGGTACGATGTCCTCCGTAAACTTCCTGACTTCTCGTACGTCTACGGGAAAGGGTCGCGGAAGGGGGACGTGATTGCTGCCCGTATCATCATTGGGTATGACTTTGCTTGGGAGATTGGTATCCCCACATCCCCTGAGCAACGCTCTTGTGCGTTATGCAGAAGACCCGACAGCCGCACCCTTATTCACTACCTCCTAAGATGTCCCCACACACAACGCTTCCGTGGCGCCTGCTGGACCACCACTCCACGACCCCCTGACGGAGACACGATGATCCTCCCAATACTGGCCAGATATTTTGTAAATAATATTAATTATGTGTTAAAGGAACATCCTTCCTTCCTTAGGCTTTAGTAAGCCCCTTTATAATATTTATACTGTATATACTTTTCACACTTGCCAGATGATTCTGGTGTCATTGTACAGGGGTACCTAGTGACAGCACTAGGATCCCGCTTCCTCTATCAAGGAATAAACAATTGAAATTGAAATTGCCAAGACAAAGATACGGTTAAGTTAGGAAATGTTAGATTACATTAGGTCTCATGAGGTTTGGATTTTGAATTTTTTTTTTTTTTTGCACCTTTTACAATACAATATCCCTCTACTTCAAAGCCCTACCCACTTTATGCAACCAAAATTGTACTATCTTATGTGAAATTTAAAAGTAAAATTAAGTGAAAAAATATAAATTTGGGGCAAAAATGCTGTAGGTTAAAGTATTTTTTTTCCTATCTCCCTGAATAAGAAGCAATATTGAGTTCCATGGTTGTACTCTACTGAATCAGAACGATAATAAATTTATTATATAGCCTAGTATACAATCTTTGTATGGTTTAGTTGTGGCAGCCAAAACATGGTTAACATTAGTTTTTGTTTTAGGACCACGTATGATTTAATACTTGGGATACTTTTTTTTTATTTAAAAATAAATTAATACAATTGAGTTTCTTTGGGCTTCTCTTGTGAGTTTAACATGCCTTCTGGAGATGTTTTTCTATGTACTAAGAAGACACATGGAATTTTCTTCAATCTTCAGTGATTTAAGATAATAAAAATTGAGTGAAATCGTGTGTAATGTTTGGTTGGTAAGATTTTCATGAATTTGTCTTAGAAATTAATGTGAAATCCATTCCAAACACATCGAAATATACAGGAAAAACATAATTTAGTCCAAACATTTGTGGACGGTGCTAAAACAAATACTAACCCAAAATTTATAAGTTGCAGCCTTGTATTTTTGACAATCCATCATTATCATTACAGCATTAAATACAGGTGTCTGGTCTTTTTTGTGTTGTTGGAGCAAATGATAACTGCATAGTAATAGTGCACAAGACAACAACACGAATGTGAATTCACCAAAATGTGCGTCTCCCTCTCTTTAATCCTTGCCTGCCAATTGCCCATTACATCATCTCTAGTAACCGGAGAAATATACCCCACCCCCGGAATTTTCCAGGTACGTACCAGAAATTTTTTTTTGGAATTTCCAGAAAATGTGTCTGATTTTCATCTCTCAAACCCTGAAAAAACTCTCCCATCCCTGGAATTTTCTAGGTATCAGGAAAATTTTCGCTGAATTTTCCCGAAAATCTTTCCCAAAGCGGGAATTTTCTGGAAAATTCCAGCTTTGGGAATGATTTTCCGATAATATTTCAATTCCGGCTATTGGAAAGTTCAAGGTTTGGGGGATTCTGGCTAATGGAGATATTCCTGTATGACTTTTCTTGAATTGTGACTTGTTATATAATTATTATAACTGTTTTACAGTACAGTGGTCCCTCGGTTAACGAGCACAATTCGTTCCAGAAGGTTGCTCGTTAACCGAAACCATTGTTTCAATGGGCTTTTGGGTAATTGATTCCAGCTCACCGAAAATTGCATAAAATCAACAAAAAAGGTAGTAAAGTACACTTACTTTGAGGTGTGTTTGTAGAAGGCTCCTGGATGATGATGATGGGAATTAGAATGGGGGTGGAGGAGAAGGGAGAAGAGAAGGCATTGGGGTGGAAGAGAAGTCACCCCATGGTGCCATTTCACCCATAAAATTTTAGTTTTCTTGGTGTAATTCAAGATTATTTTCTTTAAATCAACACTGCACTGCATTATATATTGTCAATATGTAAAATAAATTTCAAATTGACCAATTATTTGCTTGGAAACACAGAAAAAAAGCATTTAGTTGAAGAGAGTCTCAAGCAAGATGTTACCTTCACTGAAAAGACACAGAAACTGACGCCTGTATGGTGTGTTGACAGGCTGTTTGGCGCGCAAAAAACTAGCTTCCTATACTTCAATGTTCAATAATTGTTAAAATGACTAAAAAATTTAATATAAAACTTTTAAAATTATTGAATAGTCCAAACTTCTTGATATTTACTAGAATAGTAAGGAATTTAAGCCCTAGAACCGATTACTGTACTGGCGGACTAATACTACAGCTGGTGGACCGCCAAATGCATGCGAAAACGTGTGGAGGGGTGCTCGTTAATCGAGGGATTGCTCGTTAACCGAAGTTAAGAATCTTATGGAAGGTAATTTGTTAACCGAAATCTCGTTAACTCAGGTGATCGTTAACCGAGGGATCACTGTACGTACTATGGTTAATAAAAATTTACTTTTTAATGCAAAATTTTTCCTTCAAGAAATTGTGATTAGCTTTCTGTAAATTATTGTGTGGGTGTGTATGTTACGAGGTTGGTGTTTGGTCCTGAGGGGGATAAGCTATGCACTGAGTGACTGACTGGCTGGGGCAGGCTGTGGCGGGGCAGCAACCCGAAAAATTATAACGATGTTTTTTTCCTAACTGTAAAGCAAAATATCACACCAACAGATTTCCTCATTACAGCACCAGAATTGGACATTTCTAATACAGTACCAGAAGGCCAAAATTACTTTTTCAATGCCAAGCCTATTTTGTAATACAAATTTTCGGGTAATTTGGCATTGAAAAATGACAGTTGGCAATGCTGCTCAGTAGCACTGAACAAGGAAATGGCAGAAAAGGTAGCTTGGGCACTTAAACTTCATGTTCATCGTTTGGGTACACAAATGAAATGATATGAAAGAACACATGAGATTGATCCAGACATGAAGAAACACTTGTGATTGGTCCAGACATGAAGAAACACTTGTGATTGGTTAGGTTCCAAGTTTGTGCTGTAAATGGATATTTAAAGCTCTTTGTTTGAGGCATGTAACAATTACCGATTTTTTTTCAATTGTATCTGAGTAAAAGTACAGTACGTATTAGAAAACCAGACTTCAAAAAAAGTCAAAGTACTAAAAATTTATCATAAGGTAACCTTGATGGCATTAAAAAATTACTAATTTATTCATGCTGCACTAGCATGCAAATGTCTTGAATGAAAGAGTTGTATATATGGAGCCACTTAAGATCCAGTACACCTACCATTTTTTCCAGATATATTGTAATTTGTTTTTCTTGGAATTGAAATTCAATGGGTAAGCATTTTGAGCTTATTTTTGACATTTGTGGGCTTAATCCCAGTACACTGCTGTACAGTACTAAAAAATCATATTAATGTAAGTGAGAAACAAATGTTTTTTGTGCTAGTTCATACTCAATTCTTTATCCTGTTTCTGATAGCTAAATGAGACACTTTTCTCTGCATTGATTTTAAGGAATTCTGGAATTATACATTAACGTACTGCAGTTTGTTTGGACTACAAGTACGTACTTAATTCTGATTTTGTCAGAGATTAATGCACAATGCTCAGATACTCACACAGTGCCAACTAATGGACAAGGTAGAGAAAAAGGGCTTTGTTAATACTGTACACTATAATACTGTACCAACTGACACCTAACTGTCAATGAGGTCTGCACTAATGTAAGTTGCACCCTCAACCATAGTTCATTATTAGCTTACCCTCTAGGAAAAGTTTTCTCTTCTACTGAACCCCCTCAAGTGGCAAACTGGCAAATACAGTACTGTAACCGTGTCTAGCAACATATTCTTGGGATAAACATATACAGAATGAGTAGAAAACACAAGAAAACCACAAAATAGTTCCCCTGATTTGAAAGATACTAAAAATAAATTACAGCAAGGGTGTTCTGATTCAATTATTTTCTCCACACTCACCCCCTTGGGAGCGGAAGTCCATGGTACAGGAATACTTCATCTCTGCAGGGTCGAGAGCTGTGGCTCCTTCCATGGAGGGTATGCTGGGAGGAGGGTAGTGTGTTCCATATCCACCTACATTCCCAACACCACTGCTGCTGCCACCACCCAGGCTTCCTGTTGCTCCACCTGTGGTCACCCCAGAGAAAAAAATGGAAGCTTAAGAGCACCAATATTGATTTTGTTTTTTAATTCAGATCTTACAACTTGTATTTTCACCAACTTTTTCTTATTTTTTTATGAAATACTGTACATAAAACCACTGTACTGGATATTGGGCATCTATGCAGTCTTCATATATCTGAAGCCCTTAGAAAGCAGCTACAAATCCAAGATTATGCCACTCGCTTTCCATTACAGGTGCTCCTCTACTTACGAACGAGTTACGTTCCTGAGGCTTGTTTGTAAGTCCAACTTTACTCTTGTAGATACCAAACATATTGTAAAAATGAAAAGATTATGGATATTTAGTACAGTTATACCCTTTAATACAGCCTTAAAATCTGGCTCACTCTTCTCCTCTTAGGTAATGTTTGTTCTATCTGGAATTTTCTTCAAAATAATCCAGTCTCATTCACATTAAACACCTGTGCTGGCAGGTAACTCCCCTCAGTGATGATGTCTGTATCTCTGAAAGTTTGTAAGTTGAACATTTTTAAGTAGAGGAGCACCTGTACTACTATTTTTTTTTAAGTACAGTATTCCGAGAATAATGTTTCTGTTCCTGGCATTCAAACAAATTTCAGAGATATTGCATCATGCGCCAACACGTGCCGAGCATGTGGGTGGGTAGGCTGAGAGTGCTCATGAGCTACGATTGGCTACAACTGTGATGTGACTATATGGGATGCCTATGACTGGCTGGTGTATCTCAGAGCCTATCTTCTCAAACTCTAGCATCATGACACTCTTAGTTCATTGTTTGCTGCCATTGTAAAACCTTGGTCGCATGCTCACTGCTATTTTTGCTTATGATCTGTGTTGTGGAGTACTTTACATTACTATACCAGGATATAATCAGCCAAGAATACCATTAAAGCAGTGTTAAAACATAAAAAGTGATTACAGCCATGTACAAGGCCGTTTGTTTAGTATCGTACGTCGTAAAAATTATGAATAAATGTAAAAGTGATCGGTGATTGGTTACTTAGTTACCCGTTGCTTAATTTACTGGTTGGGCTTTGTTGTTTCGTATTATATTATACTACGTACTATAGTAAACACACGGCCTTGAGTTGCCAGCTGTCTCCAGCAGTGTTCGAAGAATCTTGAACGAGACTGTACATAGCAGTGGCCAGTGTATGCCTACCCTCCTTTATGGAGGGAGAGGAGAGTGACAGCAACACCTGCTACAGTAGATGGCAGGACTAAGGCAGGCCATCTTTTATCATCATACTCTCTGATAGCCGGAATTGAAATTTTCTAGGAAAATCGTTCCCAAAGCCAGAATTTTCCGGAAAATTCCGGGGATGGGGGATATTTTTCCGGGTTTGAGAGATGATGTAATGTGCAATTTCTGGAACTACCAAGAATATTTTTCCATTACCAGGAAAATTCCGGGGATAAGGGATTTTTTTTTCCTCCGGCTTTGAGAGTCATCTCGTTACCCGGAAATCTCTCATTCTTGGAAGTGCTCTGCACCAATTGTTCCGGCTAACTTTTATTGACTGGAAATATTTATAATTTCTAAAGGCAATTATTTGGTCAGTACCCAATTAAAGTTTTCCTAATGTGCAAACAATGTATTAGAACAAAATAATATGTAATAAACTTTTGTAATACAGTACTGTACTGTATAATACTTGTATACTGTAATACAGTATTTGATGTGTTTGTAAAACTAAAAGTGGTTTAGGTATGAAGAGAAGATTACTTAGATTTTTCAATGCAGCATTTGATAAAAATGTTTTATAAGACACAGGTACTGTACAGAAAGACACTAAAACCAAAGAAACACTAAATTAATCTTAACTTGGCTTTACAGGGCTGAGTGAACATTAAACTGGTCTGAAGAGATAACATCAAACTGACAATTCCTTTTCTACTTCAGCCTTTTCAATTTTATCTTTGTACAGTTCTAAACTATAGACCAAAAATGAATATATAAAATCTTCACTATCATGTAAGATGAAATAAAAGTATTTCTTACCTCTGCCAAACATATGTTGTTTCTTTAATGGTAAAGGAGGCATCCGGTGGGGATCTTCAGGGCCGTATCTATAACTTCCTGCATTATAATCTCCACTTTGGTTTCGACTGCCACTGTCTGAGATTCAACAACACAATAAAATATATTAAAATCATATTTTAACAAATAAAACCCTAATAAAATATCAAAGATCTTTACATAATGGCTCAATAACTGAATTAGCATTAGGATTCAATTTGCAAAGATTATAACATGCATGATCCCCTGTACCAGTGCTATATCTAGTAATGAAACAATCAAGAAAGAGAGAACCTCAGACAATTTGCCAAGAAGTAAGCCATTTGTGGGAAGTACTTGAGCTGACAGGAATAAGTTTAAGAACAATATGGACAGTCAGAAATACTAAGATTATGAATGAAATTCTTACTAATGCCAACTTGCATAATATGTTAAGTTTTTTATGTGTAAATTTTGAATGAGATGTTATTGCTGATGCCCTTGAACCACTAAAAATAATGTACGTACATTAGTTTTCCTACGAATTATTTATATCTTTTAAAAGTTTAATATGAATGAAGTGCTATGGAAATGAAGATTACAGAAAACAAATGAAACCCAAATGTCCTGAAATTAAATCTTCATAAAACTTTTTATATCAGCATCAAACCAGACTTTATTTAAGTGCTGAGATGTGACTTTGGATACTCTCTTGTGGGGTTACAAGGATGTGTCAGCATCTGTGTGTGTGTACCTGAGAGTTGTGTTGTGTGGTCCATTGTGCCCCATGGCTCGTCAGGACTAAGGGAGGACACTGCGGAGTCACTGGAGGCGTCCACACCTTCCTCACCGTGAAGCTGAGGTAGCACGCACCCAGCTGTGCCCGACAACAACACTATCATAAGACATCAACTAAACTAGATTGAGCCTCAATAAAATCCCAATAAGAAAGTGATAGAGAATACACCTCTTCACATATCCGTTGAGACATTGTTACATAACTATTTGACAAATTTCATAACCGAATCACAGAATGACAGAACACATATCGAATGACAATCTAAAATAACTGTTGGTGGTATGTCATTCTCCAATTGTTACATTCTCAAACTATATGTAGACTGTCGGTTTATTGTTCACGTCTGTCAACTTCATAACTTGTGTCAATCACTTCCGTTAGCATGAACGAACAGTTATTTTAGATTGTCATTCGATATGTGTTCTGTCATTCGGTTATGAAATTTGTCAAATAGTTATGTAACAATGTCTCAACGGATATGTGAAAAGGTGTACTGCTGTCAGGGGAGAACACAATGATCTTGGTTCAGGGTAAAAAGCAAAGGTAGGGGCCTTCCACTGTCCCAGCTCTAAGAGTACAGTGTTCATCTCAGTTTCTAATCATCTCTTAAGCAATCCATATACAAGTCTATAATAATCTATGACAGGGAAGCAATATAAATAAAGGCTTCTTTTTATTTTCTATGTCAACTGGTACACCAACACACCTGAGTTGGATGGGTGTGTGTGTGTGTGTGTGTGTGTGTGTATAAGAGGCAACGTTCTGTGCTCTTAAATGAGAATCACAATTAATCAATAATGTACAATGAAAGACAAAAGTCGTGTCGTGAAATTTGGTGAAAACATATGCCGACGGGCTAAAACTTTTGGTGCGCTCTGCCTTGTGGTAGAGGGGCTCTCATAATGTTTCACGAGTTATATTTAATCTTTGGACAAAACCGCGACACGACTTTGTCTTTGATTGTACCTGTTACAATATTCAACTTCTGGAACAAGATCTTATTGGAATACTAACCTGGTGAACAATAATAGTCAATATTAAGAAAGACAATCTTTACAACAGCAATACAGGTAAGTGTTCCATTAATCCCACAACATGCTCTGACAAAGCTACATTCAACATGCAATAACACATGCACTGTATTACCCTCATGCCTCTCCGTTAACCCTAAGACAAAAACACAAAATTTCAGAGTAATACTGTCTGTCTGTCACACTGGGCTAGAAAAGATAAAATTAAATCAAATGAATAATGAGTTACATGTGCAATTTCATGCAAGTTGGCAAAAACGAAAATACGAGCACAGAAGTAGTTGAGGACAGACAAAAACAAGAGTCTGATAATCTTCCAAGAAATAATCAGTATAGTTTAGCTTATTACATGACAGGATTTACAAGTGTAAAACATTCAGTGCAAACATAATACAGTACAGTATTGCTTTTAATGACAAACATGATTACAAAGTACAGATAGATACATTGTCTTTAAAATGCTGTAAATGAAGTTCAGTCACAATTTTTTTCTACTTATGTACTGCACCAGTAACAAGAATCTCATATATTTTCTCTTTAGTGTATTCATTCTTTTTACATAACTAAACTCCCATGACTTCACTGCTTTACTTTGTCATCTTAAGATTCCTGTTTCAAAATGCAAAACAATGAACTCTCTAAAATCTTAGGGAAAATTAGGTCTGCAGTTTACCACAAATAATTCTTTTTCTTAAGAAGTTTGCATGGTACAGTAATGTACAGTACAGTACTTCAAAATTCTCTCTATCATTTCAGGTACAGTCTACCATGTTACTGCAACTACTGTATTAAGAGTCTATTACATTATGGTAAGTGGTTATACTTTTTTCTGAATGTTTTTTATTTCATAAATTCTGATATTTAATGTTGGCAACAAAACATGGTAGTTGCTGTAGTCATTAACTTTACCTTGAAACTTAAATACTGCACTACACTGTATACTACTGTATAATTTTTTTGTCATCCAAATTTATGTATGAATTTTAAAGATTGTAACAACTTTTCTTCAGCAAAATGAGGCAAAATTTTGAAGGATAAACATGCAGACATCTTTTAACCACGGCGCCTGTATACAATTCATACAGTACTGTAGTGTGTTTGTGTCATCTGGGACCCAACATATACAGTACAGGTTGTACCTCTCTAGTCCGGCATTCTGTGGTCCGGAAACTCCCGTGGTCCGGAAAGATTTTAGTTTGTCCAATAGGTAGATAGGCAGCTTTTTTTTTATTTTTTTATTTTTTTATTTATTTTTTATTTTTATTTTTTTTTGTTTTTTTACTTATGTGAATTATTATTACAGGAGTATTAAATTTTTGCCCCTCAGGCCCCAATGTGGGTCAGTGACCTATGCCCGGGTGGGCTAATCCCCTTAAAAAAAAATAAATAAATAACAAAGCCGCGGGAAATTAAGGTTTGTTTACATCCGGCAGTTCGGCTGCTCTCTCTCTCTCTCTCTGCTTGTCTATACAGAGTACAACATTTAACCCTTCAATATATATGAGCAGTAAATAAGTGTTGCTTTCATCTTCTTATGTAGAGTAATGACGATATGTTTTCACATGTGCGCACTTACATACGCGCAGTCTCACTTTTTTTTACCATTAATGGTTTGCTACTTATATTGTTCCATTTATTAACATTAAATAACATTACAGGTACTTCAAACAACCATATTAATTTTTTTACATTAATTTTACTACAGCTAAAATCAGGGTCTTATTTTCTTCAGTTTTATATGTAGAACCAATCAGTCGCTGGTTTCGTAAGCTTTAACATAAACAATGCCGGCAGCCGTCTCGTCTCCTCTAATATTCGACGTATTATTAATAAATTGTATTGTTAATTTTGCACACGCACACATTAATTCAATAAAAACAAATTCAGAAACATTATTTAAAATATATATGAACAGTAAATAAGTGTTGCTTTCATATTCTTATGTAAAGTAATGACGATATGTTTTCACGTGTGCGCATGCGCACTTACATACGCGATCTCTCTTTTTTCTTTACCATTATCGTTAGCTACTTCTATTGTTCCATTTATTAACATTAAATAACATAACTTAAAACAACCATATTAATTTTACTACAGCTACAACCAAGGTCTTATTTTCTTCAGTTTTATATGTAGAACCAGTCAGTCACTGGCTTTGTAATCAACGAAAACAATGCTGTGTCATTTCCTCGTGTGTTTTAATATTCTACGTATTATTAATGAATTGTATTGCTCATTTTGCACACATAAACATTAATTCAATAAAAAAGACAGTCAGTAATAAACAATAATGAATCTTTTGTACATAAGAGAAATGACGCTGTTTACACGATTATGCACATCGTCTGCACGTTGGCGGGCCGTTCAAACCCGTCGAAATTCAAGTTTCCGCTGTCAAATTTTTTTTTATTTTTTTTTGTGTGTTCCAATAAAATACGTTAAGAATTAAAAACTCGCGAAATTTGAGAAGCTATTATACGACATTTAACCCTTCAATATGTCTTCAAAGAGACCATAATGCAGAGAAAGTGGTGCTAGTGCTTCCAAGCATAAGCACAAGTCACTATCTATCCAGGAAAAGGGTGAATTTCCATGGTCCGGCACCGGTCAGGTCCCGAGGTTGCCGGACTAGAGAGGTACAACCTGTACTGTACAGTACTTGCAAACTGTGTTATTTGCCTGATTGACCAGTGATACATATACAAAAGTAAAAAAAAAAAAAACATTAAAACATTAAATGAGTTTTTTCTTCTCAAATACAGTACTCCAAAATTGCAAATAAAAAAATGAATAATCAGTTACTGATATTTTTTTCTCTCTTCCTTCATGACTACACTAGGCTTACACTGAACGAGAGCTAACCTAACCATACAGTAAGTACAGTACATCATTGCAAATACAGTAATGTACACTGAATATTGTAATTTCTTTTACATATTTGACTAGACCCCTACCTTTCATTGTTTTAGGATTTGCATCAGTTCCTGAACACTGTACAGTATAAGGGCTTGGTATTACTGCTTCTTTAGAATGTGCACAGTCATTATTAAACTACTGTACTACTGAAATGCTTTTATTACAACAACAGTATTGTATATTCCTATACCGTACAGTACTTAGGTAGACCATTTAATACAAGCCTAAAACTACTCTTTAATGAGGAAGATTATTGTATGCTATTAATATTGCAATTGAAATCCATTATAAAAAGACAAGATCAAATTAGAAGACAATAACTGAAGATAGTATAAATAACATGCACTAAACAGTACAATGAATTTTAGGAGATTTTGTATCATGGAGCTCTTTAGGTACAGTAGACCCTTGCGATTCGTGGGTTTGAGATTTGCGATTTTGACGATTCGCGGTAAGCAGATGGTGACTAGCTTGCGAGCCTTTTCCCACAGTGCAACGAGTCACCCCACACAGCTTCTCATGTTGTACTCTCAAAACTTTAGTGTTTCTGTGTGAAAATGTCCCTAAAAGACTGCCTAATGTCAGTGGCAGTGATGCTAGTGGAGCAAAATGTAAAAGGCAGAAGTCAGTGATGACCTTGACAAAGAAAGTTGAATTATTAGATAAGTTAAAAGAGGGGATGAGTGCTGCCGCAGCTGGTCGGTTGTTTGGTATAGGTATACAGTAGTGCACTAAGGTAGTACGTATAAGTTGCTAATCGCGGTTTTGCCTATTCACGCCATTCCTTGGAACCTAACCCCTGCGCAACGGTTTACTGTATTGCAATTTATACGACCTAAGTGCACTACTGTATACCTATATCAAACAACCGACCAGCCACGGCAGCACTCACCCCCTCTTTTAACTTATCTAATACAGTAATTCAAATGACTTCTGCCTTTTAGGGGCTATTTCACGCAGAAACACTAAAGTTTTGAGCACAACACAAGAGATACTATGTTGAAGGCAATGGTTGAATGCAAGAAAGGGAGAGGAGACGCTGCAGGAGCATGGGGTGACTCGTTGCGCTGGGGTAAAGGCTCATAAGCTAGCCACCATCTGCTTACCTCAAATAGTTGAAACCGCGAATCACAAACCCACAAATAACAAGGGTTTACTGTATTGTATTTCACAAGAAGTCTGGTTATCTATACATCTAAAATAAAATTTATATGAATCTTAAAACTGTACAGTACTTTACACGTGTTTATAAACAAATTATGATGCATAAAAGAGAATCTGATAAATTTGCATTCAAGAAAAAAAGAAGTACATTAATGAACAGTCCATATGGAGCTTATTTCAGTGCTTTATTTATTTTGAGATATTATTTAATACTTCCTGGGCATGAATTACGTCCAGGATCTTAATTTTTAACAATAGAGAGCCACAAATATACACATTTCTGTATACAAAAATATATTATCTCTAAACTATATACAGTACGACTCAATTATACATTATTATACAAAACCCCTTTATGTCTGACCTAATGACAAATAAAAACACCAATTCCCCAATGATAGTTCTTGTTCAGTACAGTACAGTATATGTTCTTTTGACTCTTAACATAGCAAAATTATATTTACTTGACTCTTCCTACCTCATGTAATATCACTTCTTCCTTGAAATGAAGTGTTGTCATAAAAGCACTACTCCAGAGAGAGATTTTAAAATGCATGAATGTCTTAATTATTTTGAGGTGACTACAGTATACATAAGAAATCTCAGGGATCTGTTCACAAGTATTACTAATACAGAAAACAGTACTGTACTCACAGTCATTCATGGCTATCTCCATCAATCCTAGTGCTTCATCGTTGAGTATGGATGTCAGAAGACCATCTGTTGTCTGGTTCATTTCTGTAGTTGTGTTCTGCAATAAGAAAATGCATGATTTTTTTTTTGGTTTTTAATTTGGAAACAATATTTAGACAAAAGTAAAGTATTGTAAGATACACAGACACATGTTGTATACCTATAAACATATAAGCGTTCTATTACCTAATATCATCTTAAAAAATATATGCATTACAGTATTTATTATTTATCATATAGTAGTCAGCATTGTATTACAGTATTATTTTAAATGTCTCCCAAATCAGAGGTTGTCAATACTGTATGTAACCACAAATTCACCGAATGGCTGACAATAATTTATCCTGAAAATGGTTTCAGTATACTACAGTACTAAATTTGAAGTACAAACAGTGTAAACTTAGAGTAGAAAGAAAAATGGGACATTATTGGGCTGCTGAGATGTAAAGGATACACAATCAGGTTTTCAGTATGCATCTTCCTCTAGAAATATATATGTGAACACAACTTATTTGTGATGTCTATACAACAATACACTGTACTTGTATCTAATAAACAATGCTTAAGAGTAGATAAAAATAAACATACTGTACTCATAAATCATCTTTTATGTTGGAGAGCCTTAATCAGTTATAGAGTACGTACAGTACTTTACTGTTAATACTCGAGTTAGAACATGAACAGTCTCTACCCTACTGCTACAAGCTTATATAACAGCTCCTCCTGTCATATGTGTCTTAGCCAGAGTATAATTATGCTGTTAGGGGGCATTTTGTTAAGTGCAAATCCATTACCAACCTTCAGGTCTGGTACTGTACTGTACATGCTTCTCAACAAGCTTAGTTGCTGGATAAATTAGATTAATAAATACATATTGCTCCGTAAAATAAATATTTTAAGCGTGTACATAATTCCTAAATACACGAATTCCGTATTCAAATATAAATTAAGCCAAAAAGATTTATTTTACCACAATGAGTCTTAAGTCCTGTATGATGTACAGTCAGCCCAAGATCCAGCGACCCCAACCTGGGTCTTGTACTCGCAATTTTATGTGGCAATACTTGTTAAACTAAGGCTGTATGTACAGTAATGTTTATTGTGATTGGTGGATCTATTTTCAGTGTATCACTGTCAGGATAAATATTAAACAAACCAAAGGTGCAATTTTATAATAATAAACTATTCATCATTATTTTAGATCATGAGAAGTTTCCCAACGTTCATAAATTTGCTAAAATAATGAAGAAAATATTACGTGAGAATCTTGTGGCAGCTGTGGTTATATAGTTGAGTTGCCAATTCATTATTATAATTTTCTTCATTACACTGTATGCATATATATATATATATACTGTGTATATATATATATACACAGTACTGTACAGGTATTTGCATCGTCACATTGATGACCACCATGTGTGTAAAGTTTGTTAAATTTTGTTGAAAATTACAAGTTTAGTAGGCACACAATTTTTCTGCATGGAAGGTATTTCTCTATCCTTTGCACGAGCAGCAATGAGGAATACAAACTGGAGATCTCTCTTATCTATCAATGCATTATTTGCAAAATTTTAACAAGCCAATATTCACTAGTTTCAGATACACTGTATGGAAGTCGGTGACAAACACCAGGAAATTAAATAATACAGTATACAGTATTGTCAACCTCCAAGTCATACAATTCTTGCACGTGACATTTATATCTTGGGTAACCTGCATAGGTAGTAGGTATTAGGCAGCTACCAAACAGGGAGGTACTACCGCCTGGGAAGATATTGGAAGCATAATGTGTTGTCTATGGTAGACCCTGCTGCCACATGGCATCACAAAAATTGTGACCAAGTCCCAGGTAGCTGATCTGACTTTCTGCCTCATTTACACATAATTGCAGGGTCTCAATTGTTTCACTTAATATTGACAACACAACATACATACCTGTATATTGTTTCTCACTTTTGATTTTTTTTCATTTTGTATTTCTTTATGGTTCTTTATTATTATTATTATTATTATTATTATTACATTTTCGCTCCCTAGGCCGCGATGTGGGTCAGTGACCTGTGCCTGGGTGGGGTAATCTCCATAAAAAAAAGAAAATAAATACTGTTGTACCTGGAAACATCATAAGTACAGGCACTGTACTTAACAGTACAGGTACATACATTTGTAATTAGTAGGCTCATACAGGAATACACACAAATGCAAAAGTATTAAATTCTACAAACATGAATACGTAGTGCATTATGATGTGGAATTATTAGTAGCTGTCATAAGGGCAGACTTTTGCAATACATTACCACTGTGCAATTTAATATCTGTACTACTGTAGTACAGTACTGTACACACCATGCAATAACATGTAAGGGTCTATGGGCAAAGGAGTTGAGCTACTTGATAAAAGTACAGGCAGAGGGCCTTCCTCCTCCTCCACTAGCATCACACTGTACAGTACTACCTCTGCAGCCAGTACATCAGATATGAGCCTGTCCACAGTGTCATTTACTTGAAAATCTTCTATGCTGCTGTTCTGAAATATTAACCCCATATGCTAATATTCCTTTCCAAAGGGAAAAAGAGTCACTTAAATACTCATTTGGTCCACCAAATTTTGGACTCTGTATACAGTATTTAAATCAACATTGAAAAAAAAAATGATGTCCAATATATTCAAACTAAGTACATATTGTATTATACTCCTAACCTCTGCACTGTAATTATAAACTACTGTAGATGAAAACTAACAGTACAGTAACGATTGATAACACATTGAGAATATCAAATACAGTACCTGTACATTATCTCAATTTTTCTTTTAACCAATTTTCCTTCCAGCTTTATAAACCTATACCCTGTAGTACTATACAGTATACAGTACTGTACTGTTTTTTTTTCTATATTTTTTTCAAAATATAAACCATTTTTATTCTTAAAGCAATGCCATGTTGATCTTCTATTCACATTCTTCTTCTTCTCTATACTGTACAGTACAGGTACTTCAAAATCTTCTAGCCAGTCTGCTACAGATACGTATAGAATAAATGAGTTTTCCCTCCACAATAAACAATATACGTACTGTACATTTGTTGCTACTTCCTTAAGCAATTTAACATTGAGTAATACCTCTACTCTGATCAATTAGTAACACCTCATGTGTACACTACTGAATATACGTTCTTTATATACTGTATTTGACTATACAGTACAGAAGAAAGATACTGAAGATGAAAGAAGCATATACTGTACAGTCAGGTACATATTGTTGAGTGCAAAGATGGTCTCAAAGCTGATATTCCCCAGTTTGATTAACCAACAAGTTGACATTGGACAAAAAGTATTACAAACAAAGATAAATTAAATGAACAGTACCTGGTAATACATCATATCTGAGGGTAAAGTTGTATTGGCCTCCATCTTGTACTGATTGTGGTCACTACCAGCAAGGTCTGAACTGTTGGTAAGGTTCATACTGCTGGTCACCAGGTGGCTGGAGGCTCCTGCTTATGAGAAAAAATTATATTTATGAATTGATAACAACCAATACAGGTAATTATAGCTTTTATAATTGAAATTTACAAGCCCTAACCTTACCAAAATCTCCAAATACCTATACAGTATATTGATCCAAAGAGACAAAGCAACTTTAACAATATACAGTGAACCCTCACTTTACGCGGTTAATTCAACCCACGGCGGCCCGCGTAAAGTGAGAAACGCCCAATCTCCACTTTTTCAGACACAATACCTACGTTGTAGTAAAAATAACTTCTTAATTTTATGATGGTATGCACACACAATTAATAATTAAGAGAAATATCAATAATATTAGGTTTTTTAACACTTACATTAGTAGAAAAGATGGCTGGGCACACGGGGATGGGGGGTTGGTTCCGAGGCAGAGGGCAGATTATTGGCCCTCACCTGTATCACTTGCATCAGTTGTATCACTATCCTCCAAAGAGGCTTGCAGGGCCTCTTTGTCAAACCCCTCAAAGTCCATATAAGTCCATATCCTCACTATCATTATCACTATCAGTGACTTGGGCCGGCTGTGGTGGGTGGCGAGTGAAGAACTCGGTAATGTTTTGATGACTGGGCGACCTTGTGCGCACCCTGCTCGCGCCGCTCTCCGCGTAAAGGGGTACACGCACCGCGGAAAGTGAGCATTCCGGTTTCGGCAGGGTACCGCATAAACGTGGAAACGCGTAATGTGGGATCGCGTAAAGCGAGGGTTGACTGTAAATGATTTTTTTTGTATTCATGAGAATGATGGTAAAATTCATGACTTTTTGGTCCTAAAATGCCTTCCATAATTCCATTCCATTACTGTTCAACAGCATGACAACCTCTCATGATTTAACTACTGTGCTCAATACTGTAAATATTTCCATTTTCAAACTTTTTCATTGCTTGTTGTAGCTACAGCATTTACATGAGCCTGTACAAGGTATGAATATAATATTTGTTATTTATGTAACACTGGAGGCAATAAATTATAAAATATGGAAGATATTTAACACATTCCTTGAACCAAGGAATGAGTGAATAGTGGTTAGGCCAACAACCACCATTACCTTATGAGCTACTGTGCCGTGGCATTGCTTTGAACCAGGAAGTGTCTGTGGCATCTTACGCAGTTGTACAAATGGTGCAGTTTAAACAACATTCTAACCAGTGGCGTAGCTAGAGTGTGTGCCGCCCGGGGCGGCCCCCCCCGTGCCCCCATAAAAAATACATATTGCACAGTGACTTTTATATATATATATATATATATATATATATATATATATATATATATATATATATATATATATATATATATATATATATATATATATATATATATATATATATATATATATATATATATATATATTAAATAGTTTGTGTACCATTATAATATTACTGTACTTTCACATACTCAAATATAGTATGCTTTAAATACACACCAAACATACTTAAACTTTATAAGTAACAGTTAAACAAAAAGCAAAACCGACATATAGGATAGGGAAAAAGGTAAAAAAGTGTAAAAAATTAGGCCCATCTTTATTTCTGAAATGAAAACTACAACTTTCTACAAAGTAACTTTTCTTGTTTTTTGTTGGCAAATTCTTCAATGACATTGTCAAAAACTATTTCATCTGTCAATTGTCGCTCTATAGACAGTATGGCAAGATTTCTCAACCGCAAGGTGCTCATAGTAGATCTTAAGTAATTCTTGATCAGTTTTAGTTTCGAAAAACTTCTCTCACAGGTAGCAACACTAACAGCAATTGTGAGGAAAATCCTCAGCATTATTACTATATTTGGAACTGCAAAAGTTCAAGGGGGCCTTCTTTCCACGTCTGTATTCTGTCTTTAATAGTTATAGCAGCAACAGCAACAAAATGCTGAAGTCTTTTTCTCTCAACGAGGAACTCCTCTTTATCAATGTCGTCGTGATCGTGATCTATTTGACACTCATATTTATCATCCAAAAGATTCAATGGGGTAAGAAAGGCATATTTCTCAGCAAGTTCATGAAGCTGTTGAAATCTCAAAGTTATTTCTTGGATCACTCTGTCCAGCGAAGAAAACATTTCTCTCCTCAATTCAATGTCGTATGGCAATTCAGCATCTCGTGATCCTTCACCAAACATATGTTTCTTCTTTTTGGGTCGACGCCGATACAAAGGGATGGATTAACGTCTCCAGTAGCTGCAGATATGGGTGATGAGCAGACCCAAAAGTGCCGCCCCCCAAAAGTGCCGCCCGGGGCGGACCGCCCCCCCCCCCGCCCCCCCCTAGCTACGCTAGTGATTCTAACATGAAATTTTGCTTTAAGTTTGGCAAAATGCCAACAGAAACACACAACATGCCTTACTGGTTTATGGAGATGAAGCTGTGAGTAAGAAGACCACTTTTTGTCTCCACTTGTAGTGACTCATTTACTTCCCAAAAGTGCTGAAATCACTTGAAAACAGTCTTCTTGCTCACAACTTCATCTGCATAAACCATTACAATCATGTTGTGTATTTCTGTTGTTAATTTGTCATGCATAAAGCAAAATTTAATGTTTGACCATTATTCAAACTATAAAATTTCTACAAATGCACCAGATGTTGCAGACACATCTTCATTCAAAGCCATGCCATGACACACTAGCTCATAATGTAATGATGTCTGGTGGAAACTATAGTATTTCATTGCTAACCTGGCCCGTAACCCACACCCCTCTTCTATAAAAATAGCCGATTGGTTCTAAGAAAATGTTCATGTTGCTGCCCATTTGCTCAAACTGAAAAAGTTCATAACTGGTAAGCAGACCTATTATTCTCTAAAATAAAGTTAAATATCTGGAATATCAAAAATAAAATGAATTCAAGGCATGAGCACTTCAGAGTGGATGTTAGAAAAAAATTAAATACAGTATTGTACAGTGATATTCCCATTAGTCGGTACAATTGGTGCAGAGCACTTCTGGGGATGAGAGATTTCCTAGTAACAAGACGACTTTCTCAACCCGGAAAAATTCCTTATGCCCAGAACCTTTTCCGGTTACTGGGAGGAGTTTCCGAGAATCTAAACTAGACCTCTTGCACAGATGCACACTAGCCCACTTCCCCAGAATGTTTCTGGGTGCTGGAGATGTTTTCCTTGAATCTAAACTACTGAAATCCGTAAATACAGTTTTAGAAACTTCATTTCTTTACTTCCTGTATAATAATCCAGAATAGTTTATTTAAAAGTTTGGTTAAATAAATATATTTAAAACTTTAAAATCTATGGGATATGGGCAAGAATGAAGCTGTGTGTTACAGCAAAGACAGTTATTTTCCATTCACATGGAGCTGTAGGGGATTAGTGGGTCTCGTGTAACTGACCTGATGGAATGTCAGGTTACCCTTTCTTGGGTGGAGGATTAATGGGTCTCATGACCTGAAGTTGTCTTGAATAAACACGAAACCTAAAGTTTATAGGAAGATTGTGGTAAGTACAGATATAAGCAAAATGAGCTAAGTTGTATCCCTTCAACATTACGTGACATAATATTTTAAAATATGGAGTGAGAAAGCAGAAATGTGTGGGTAAATAGAGAGAGGAGTGGAAATGAGTGTTGCCTAGCTATCATGCAGTCACACATACGCAGATGTCTTAATTCCCTTGCTGGGGGTGTGTGGGTGGTGTTGGAATGTGTGTGTGTTGGTGTGTGTGTGTGTGTGGTTGTTGGAGGGTGTGTGTGGGTGGTTGTTGGAGGGTGTGTGTGGGTGGCTGTTGGAATGTGTGTGTGTTGATGTGTGTGTGTGGTTGTTGGAGGGTGTGTGGGTGGTTGTTGGAGGGTGTGTGGGGTGCTAGTTGGAGGGTGTGTGTGGGTGGTTGTTGGAGGTGTGTGGGGGTGGTTGTTGGAGGGTGTGTGGGGTGGTTGTTGGAGGGTGTGTGGGGGTGGTTGTTGGAGGGTGTGTGGGGTGGTTGTTGGAGGGTGTGTGTGGGTGGTTGTTGGAGGGTGTGTGTGGGTGGTTGTTGGAGGGTGTGTTGGAGGGTGTGATGTAGGGTGTATGTGTGTGTGGTGTTGGTGTGTGTTGACGGAAGCGAACCTTTTGAGGGTAGGGTTGCGTGGTCAGCCCCCCTCTTTCTCACTCAAGTGTGTCTAATTGTGATACGGAGATGAATTTTATACCATAATGATCCTTAATAAATTCTCTATGAAACGTTTCCAATAACATATCCTTAAACAAATATTTCTATATGATATAGTGATGGGAATTCCATTCTTTTATACCAAAAAAATAATAATTAAGAAATGTTGATACTGGAGTCAGTAAAATCAGTTCTAATTTCGTTACACACTATTTTTTTATCAAAATAATCCTGAATACTTTATCTAGAAGCTTGGTTAAATAAAAAAAAAAGCTCAATATGATATGGGCGTGAATAGAGCTGTGTTACTTTTATCCTCTTCACCACTGATCAGCTCGTTAGTCGCTTGGGGTATTGGTCAAGTCTACAGTATGTTATACACCGTTGGCAAGTGTTCTTGTGTACTGTATACATTATACTCCAGCAGATCCTGTCATCTTTAGCTTAGAATAGGCAAACACTTCACTCAATTGACTGTAATACATAACTAATCATGTTTTAACACTTGTGATGAAGGTTGGGTGGGAGAATATTGGGTCACGTTACTAACCTGACCTGATGAAAGACATTTTCAGAAAATTCCCTCGATTTTCAATCTCGGATTTTTTTTCCTAAAGCCGGAAATTTTTGGAGATATTACTGTATCATAAAAGGTTGAAGTCAAAGAAGAAATTCTCTTTCGAATGAAGTCTTTTCATTATTTATTTTTTGTACCAAACTTAAAGCTAACACACAGCACAATAGGTAATTTACCACAATTTGCATGGCTGGATATATCCCAAATTATTTATATAACTAATAAAACTCAATATAAATGTGCACAGCCCGGGAGGGGATTAAGCGCTCAGGAGAGCAGCCACTGTTCTTGGTGGGAATTTCG